TCTCTCTCTCTCTCTCTCTCTAAGAACAAAAGACAAAACAACCTACCTCTCTCTCTAAAGAACAAAAGACAAAACAAACCTACCTCTCTCTCTCTCTCTCTATCCCATGTCTCGCTCTCTCTCTAAGTCCCCGTTGATCAGCGAGGGGGGAAATGTGAGGCGATGATGTCACTGTCAGGATTTGAATGCGAAGCAGTTCCCGCTCCGTCTTCGAAATTTAGATTTGGGTTGGTTTTTAAGCAAAAGATTCTATGATCCGGCAAGAGCATTTCCGTTAGGACAAAGTCTATATAAGACGTTGAAAATGTAGAATCAAGATGCACTTCAAAAATCCATTGGGAAAGATTGTTTTAATGTTGGAAAACCTTCTAATTGATCATCTCGACATCCAGATACATAAATATAAAAAAAAATATTTTGAATCCTAGAAATAGTGCATCTTGCAACACATCATCTAGACCGTCCATTTTCAAGATTTTCATATGGCTATAAATCCACTTGATTTTAACTATTTTTTAAATTTTTAATTTTATAATTAGATATGAAAATAGATTTTGATATAATTCTAATAATTTTTTACACCAAAATTACATGTTATGACAAAATTTTGAGGTGCACCTTAATTGGCTTGTTTAAGGTTGCAGACGCTAAACCCTATCGTTTATTCATTATAGAAAAAAAGTGTATATAGATGCTTTGATGCTACAAAACAACCCTCCAATCAATCATCTTGACCTCAAGGTATGTGAATGTAAAAATAAATTGATTTCAAATCTAGAAAATAGTGCATCTTTTAGTGCATTATTTGGACTAATCTTTTTTCAAGATTTTTAAGTGATTATAGATCTACACAATATGGTCTATTTTTAGAGCTCTAAAAATATATTGATTTCAAGTTTTCTAAACTATTATTATGTGTCCATCGATGAGATATTTTAAACTAAACAAGAGATGAAAAAGTTTATATAAATCGTCAAACTTATATAATGGATGCGGTTTGTATAGAGCCTAGGCTCTAAACAATCAAATCAGAGCCTACCTTCAAATGGCGTCGAGAAATGTGGTTTCAATACTGGAAATCTTTGTAATAGCCTTCAAACATATTTTCATCTTTATTTATAAAGTTTAAAGCTTCAAAAATATTGTAGATTGATATATCTATGAAAACTTGAAAATTGACGGTCCAAAAACGCATTATAAAATACACTATTTCCATAACTTGAAATCCATTTCTTTCTCATGTCCATACATCTTGATGTCAAGATTATTAATTTGAGGATATTTGGGCAACAAAACAACATCTTCTAGTGAAAGTTTTGAGGTAGGCTCAAATTTGATTTGTTTAGAGGCTCAACTCTATATAAACTTTTCCCTTATATAATGGAAGTAATGCAGATCTCAAAAACCCACTTGGAGAGGTTGTTCCAATACTTAAGACACTACAATTTATCATCTCTACTTCAAGATGTGTGGCTATGAGAGTAAAGGATTTCAATTTTTAATCTTCTACCACATTATTTAGATCGTCAATTTTAAGATTTTTAAATGTTTATATATCTACTCAACCCACACCATTTTTAGAGCTTAAAATTTGATAATTAAAGGTAAAAATAGTCCGGACTTTTCAGCTATCGCATGTTTTAGCACCCAAACTGCATATTTGGTAAGATTTGGAGGTACATCTTAGTTTGATTTTTTAATGTTGATGTCTTATACAACTATTCCGAATAAAAAACATTGTTGAAATTTATTTTATTTATTTTTATCATTAACCGTAATTTCATTGAAAAAATGAGAAATTACGTGACAACAGAAAAATAAAAAGAGAAGAAAGAGGGGAAGGAGAGAGAAAGAGGAGATCATGAGGAGGCTAGTTTCACAAGAGCGTCAGGAGTGCCAGTTCTTTCTTTGTTAATGTTGCAAAAGATATTGAATAGTTCATCTCTTGGGTACTATTGATATTTTTTTATGAAAAAACTTGTAAGCCCTTCATATAAATACGAAAAGCATGTCCTAAGATTAATTAAAAACTATCCAATTCAAAGTACTTAAGAACTCAAGATCCAATTTATTTCATAAAATTATTGGCCGTGATTCTAAAAGAGCTTCAAATTTTCGTTTAGGAACTCAAGATATGGTCCAATTTGTTAGAAGGGTAATACAAATCACCCCCATTTGAAATTTCTTCAGGTATTTTCATCACAAAAAGAAAGGCTTTTTATGGTGGCCCATGCATTTGTAGAGAGAGAGAAGATATAAGAAAAAGTATAGAGAAGTTTGGAGGATAAAAATTAGGGTTTTTGTACAACCTCTAGCACCATCATAGCCTCGTATTGGGCCGGTTTTTCATCAGCATTTCTTCATGGCAACGGTCTTGGTCGACGGTGACAAAGAGATGAATCGTTTGATAGTGGTATTGCAGTAAGAAATATCTATTTGAGTTTTTTTTTCCATCTTATGAGGTAATATCTATTCCAAACTTATTAATTTCTTACTGTGATAGTGAATGCATCTTTACCTTGCATATCGATGTAGCTCCTTTTGGGTGAACCATGTAAAATTGTAGTTGTCTTCTGTTTTAACTTGTATTGTGTATTGGTGATTTCTAATTTTACTAGTTTTTCTTATTTCTATAATTTTTCAAATACATTGCACATATTATTGGTTATGGGTATTTCGCTTAGGTGTTGGATTCATTGTTGTGGGAAGCTCACCACATCAAGTAAGGATTTGGGTTATCCTGATTTGCCAACAAGTAGTATTAGAGCCTAAGGAAGTGATGTAGTATTTTTTAGAAAATAGCAACTCATAAGTTTGAGGTGGAGAAGTTTAATGAGAAAGATGATTTTAAAATTTGAAAATTAAAAATACAAAATTTACGGGTACATCAAGGGTAACACAAGGCATTACTTGGAAAAGATAAGAAATCGGTAAATATTATTGATGATGATTGGGAATAACTTAATATGAAGGCAAGTGCCACTATTTGCTTGCGTTTAGCGAATAAAATATTGTTTAGTATTGTTGGGGAAAATATGACAAAAGATTTGTGAAAAAAATTTGAAAAGTTCGTATCAAACAAAATCTCTTACAAACCGAATTTTTTAAAAATAAAATTGTATTCCTCGATAATAAAAGATGTTATAAAAGTGTCGAAACATTTAAAGGAAAAATTGAAAAGTTTGTATCAAACAAAATCTCTTACAGGCCAAATTTTCTTAAAAAGAAAATTGTATTAATTGAGAATGAAAGATGATGCAAAAGTATCGAAACACTTGAATGAATTAATAAAATCATTTGTCAACTTGGAAGTATTAGAATGGAGGATGGAGATAAGGCGGTTACATTTCTTTATACATCGCCAATATCCTATGATAACCTTTTTACTATATTGAGTTGTAGAAAAGAAGATTTTCTTGATATGGGCTCGGTGTATAGTGTTATCCTATTGATGAACTTTGAAATAAGGCATCTTTAGGAAGTTCGGTGAAATCAAAGACAACAAATCTTGTGGCAAGAGGTCAATCGAATGAATGGTATGATTCATTGAGGAATCATTCAAGAAGCTATTCAAAACCTTGATTTTTAATCAAGAGGGCCTAATAACAAAAATGTGTGTTGGCATTGTGGAAGCCCGATCATATAAGGAAGAATTGTTTAAAAAGAAAGGGGGTGAATTCTTTCAAAGATCCTAATGTGTGCGGTAAAATGCAAATTAAATCTAATAATGAAGCAAATTAAAGCGAAGAGTCAACATTTAATTTTATTGCAGATGAAGTATTGATGGTGACATACAATTTTATATTATATCAAAGTTGGATACTTGATAATGGAGCCACCCCATCACATGTGCTCACATGGATCATGGTTTGACTAATATCAATCATGTGAAGGAGGATTAGTATCCATCGGTAATAACTCAAGTAGCAAAGTAGTTGAAATCGGTTCAGTTCACCAAATAATGTTTGATGGGACTATTCCTAAGATTAAAAATATTAGACATGTGTCGGAGCTAAAAAAGACCTTGATTTATCTTTCTTTAAATTCAAAATGTTACAAGTTTACAAGTTAGGGTAGTGTAATCAAAATATTAAAAGGAACTCTACTTGTCACAAAAAGAGTCCGAGAATTTATATGAGAAGCACAATAATATAAGTAAAACGGAGGTAGTTTAAAACCCAGAAATATAAAGCAATAATTTTGATTTATCAATTACAATTAGAAACTTATGACGGACCTATTTCAATAAAATAATTCCTTCCGGAGGAAACGTTGACAAAATCTGACCCCGTCAAGAATATAATTAAAATTTTATTTTTTCATTTTAAATTCATGAAATTTATTTATAATAAAATCAATCAATGAGAGTTCCAAAACTACCATGATCATAATCACCATATTGTGCTGGTTTGCCATAATTGGATAATTGCAAGTATCATACAGGCCATGAAGGTCACGTAACACTACAACATTTCATTCATGTAAACCGTATGAGTTCCATACAAACAAAGCTTTCGCTTGGTTACGGTTATAAGGCCAGGAAATTTCATTTCATTAAACAACACAAGGCCTAGTTATTCACTTTTGGTAAGAGCACACTTAAAACATACAAGCACATCATAAGGGATAGGTGTGTTGAATAAGGAGGAGTTTTCTGAAGGTCAATCCTTCAGATATGATTCAGCTATTGTGCCCTTTCCACCATTCGGAAAGAAGCCGCCGGGTTTATGCTCATCTCCGGTCGAGTAGACGATCCTCAGGACCTCAGCAGGGGTGCGGCCGTACGCCAGAGAGTTGTAGTCGGCTGACAGGATATTCCCTGAAGTCTTGTTCTCTGCGCCTAACTCCGGGGGCACTACAAGACCTTCATCTTTGATGCCGGCATGTCCGAGCCTGTTTCTGAGCTCCGAGATGCGATCCGTGAATTCTGCCACTGTGTATTCGTAAGGCTTGACCATGTCCTCCGCTCGCTCATATAGTAATGCTCGAATTACAGCATCTTGCCCTGATTCTACTGCCAAAAGACCAGCTACTAACTGCATGAAGCCATGGACAATATGGAGTTTTACCTTGGAGCTTCTTCTTACAAAGTATGGAACTCATTCATGCAGCAAAGTCCACCATGTATAATTTTCATTTACTACTCGTCTTGCCTAAAGGTGTAATGTTTCTCTTCTTTCTTTCTTTTTTATGTGGGACTTTTTTTTTCTTATTTTCATTTTTGGGAATGTTTAAGGGTTCTAAAAGACATACCTTGGAGCTCAGTGACAATTATCACCGGTGAATTCAATTTAGGGAGGTTTTATCACGATAAGTTTTCATGGCGATTTATGTGTAAGAGATTGTTCACTATAGGTTAGGGCTGACAAGAGCTCCATTCACCTTTAAATATAATAATGAAAATTTAATTCATGAAAAGTGAATCTAAAGGAGAAAAGTAGGAGCAGCTTCCTAAATATAAGAGAATATAGAAAAAAATATTAAAATGAAATTACATGTGTGGGAAGTGTTTGAAAGAATGGAAAGGATTTAAAGTAATCCCTTAAACTTTGGTAGCTTAAATTTTGAATTTGACATAAGATGTTGATTCCATTGTTTTTTGGAGATCTATGTTTCCCAAAGGTGCATCACTCAAAATATGTACATAAAGGATTAAACATTATTCCATATAGTATACATAGAGGGAATAATTTCATGCAACGATTTTACATTAAAATGATGAAAAAATCTTCAAAATCCATGCTACGTCCATTTGTTTGACCTTAATTTGCAAATATATATGCTTTTCGTTTTGATGAACAATCACCCAAAAAAGTGAAAATGCACCAAAAAAAGGGCTTTTTTAACTCGCTTCATATAGGCCAACTATTTGGTGAGATGCTTAGATCTAACCCTAGAAGGAACCTTTTCATTTTTCAAAATTTTTGGATATTTTTTTTTATCATTAGATGAACAATGTTAAGGAACAAAAAATATTGATTTTGAATTTCTAAAGGCCTGGCTACTAAAATTCACCCAATGGTTGTTGGAAGGGGCCTCATTTTCACCCCATGTAAGGTGCAAATTATTATATTTTTTTTGGGATTGATTGTTAAGATGAAGAGCCTATGCAAAATTTGGGGTTACAAAAATTCCATAAATATATTTTTCTAGAAATATAGTTTCATTATAAAAAGACGGTGACATGAAATTACTCCCTATATATAAATTACATGTGAAATTTAAGATAAATTCCAAATGAATTTACAAAACAAAAAAAACCCTTGATAAACTGCCAATAAGCCTTGGAGTTTGGATATAGGTGTAGGGAACCAAGGTTAATTTCTACCGTTTTGCCATTAACAAATAGGCACGGTTTGTACAGGGCCTCTAACAATCAAAGTAAAGCGCACTTTCAACTAGTGTTAAGAAACGTGGTTTCAATACTGAAAATCTTTGCGATAGCCTTAAAATATATTTTCATCTTTTATTATAAAATTTCAAGTTTAAAAAGAAGTGTAGAACGAGTAGACCTATGAAAACTTAAAATCTAAAAATTGATAGTCCAAAAATGTATTACAAGATGCACAATTTCCAAAACTTGAAATCTATTTTTTTCTCATGTCCATGCATCTTGATATCAAGATGATCGATTTGAAGATATTTGGACATCAAAACTACCTCTTCTAGTAAAACTTTTGAGGTGCTCTTTACTTTAATCGTTTAGAGCTGCAGCTCTATATAAACTTTTTCTAAAGATAAATGGTCTCTTTGTAGACAATCCCTTATGCGGAAAGATCCGCATTATGAGTTTATTTGACCTAGGGAAACTGACAATTCACTGCTGAGTCGGACCGATTTCCGATACTTGCCAGGAACTCGTTCGTTTTGGAACAATTTCTGATCCGGACAAGTAGGTTTTGAATCACTTATTCGAATTATTAAATGGCATTTTAGCCATATTTGAAGACACAAAAAGAAGGCAAGTTTACAGGCCAATACTGCTTGAGGTTCAAAATGGTAGGAAGTAATCACATCTTACTTACATATAGTCATAACCAAATTTACCAAACCACCTAATGTCAATAAATGTGGGCAACAAAAGTTCAAATAAATAAATACATGTGGGCAACAAAATCTGTATTGAATTGTTCTCGGTCAAAAAATATGGAGTAAAAAGATGCACCAAAAACATATTTTTTTTAAAAAAAAAGATTCACCAAAATTATTTAGGACTTGTTTTAAAAAATTGTACTTAAAAAGCCCATATACATGTGTACAGTTTTAGATGAGTTTATTCAGGAGAAATAAGAAAAATTATGAATTTAAAAGTAAAAGAAAATAAAGTCTTAATTCATAATATAAGCAACAAACACAAGAAGTTATTTAGACCTTTGCGAATTGTAATTAGTAAAACTCAATCTACAAATGAAAATTGATTAAGGTTAAAATTATTTCAAGTAAAAGAAAGAAAAGTATCGATTCATAGACTCAATTTGGAAGATAAGCAACGAACACTAGATCGTTGTTAAGACCTTGTTCATTTCAACCAGTAAAACTCATTCCACAAATGAAAATCGATTAAGGCTAAAATTATAAAGTATGAATACCAAGTTCTATGAAAGCCTTTTGGAAGATGCAATGTAAAAGCAAAGTAAAATTGAGAGAGAGAGAGAGAGGAGAGAGAGAGAGAGAGAGATAATTGCTATACAACTATAGAAATAACTAAAATGTGTGTTCGAGAGAGAGACTAAATGTGTGTTGAGAGAGAGAGAGAGAGAGAGAGAGAGATAGAGGGAGAGAAAGAGAAGGTTAGTGCTACCTTCTTGGATGCGTAGGCTTGGAGATTGGGATTTGCACCCACGTAGCCCGTAAGCCCCACATAAGGGATCACATAAACTGCCAAGATGTAATTTAGACTGTTGATGTAAGGATCGAAGGGTGGAGAGAGAGGGTGTTCAAATGCCATGTCAAATAGTTTGGCGAAATTGTTGGGGCTCAAATCCAATAGTGGCCTTGGAAACCCACGAACCGTTGATTTGATTGCCCTGAATTTCAATAACCAAATCAACCAAATGCTTATTTTATATCTTTAAAATGACTTTGGAGGTGGAATCAAATTTAAGAAAAATAAAGAATCAAATAGGTCAGTTCAATTTGTTTTAGCTTCTTTTTCCAAATTTTATTTGCTACCTCAGTGTGATGCAATATTGTCAAATTTCGTGATTAAGTTTAAAAAAATATGGATTATGCGATTTTAACATAGAGTAATTTACACGCACAAAAAGAAAAAAAAAAATCGAAATAGGTCAATTTTGGGAGAAAATTACATGGAAAGCAACCCATGTTTTTTTTGTTCTTTCAAAATTACCCATATGTTTGAGGATGCCATTCTCTAACCACTTTTCAATTTTTTTTTAATTTATTCATTAGTAGGGTAATGCCTAGTTCAAAAGGCCGTCTCAGGTAGGAATCATCGGACTGTTTTATTTCTTAGCAAACAAATGAGCTAATATTGTCTGAGGATGTATAAAACATTTTGAAGGCCTTTAAAGGTCTTATGAGAGATTGTATAAAACATTTTGAATAAATAAACATAAACTTAGTAGGAATGCAGTCTTTTTGTAGACTATACCAATCAAATGTTATTTGCTAATACTCGGATTATGCTCAACGAGCTGGACCATCCGAGGTTTGGAAAAACCCAAGATATTTGAGCATAAGGATCTAACTGTGAAGGGTTTAATGTGTTAACCCTTGATGAGGTTGGTGTATGCCTCGATGAGGGTCGAAGGACCATGTGCCCCTTGCTTGTGATGAATAGCCTTTAAAGACAGAGCCATCCGAGGTTTGGAAAAACCCAAGATATCTGAGCACAGGGATCTAACTTTGAAGGGTTTAATGTGTTAACCCTTGATGAGGTTGGTGTATGCCTCGATGAGAGTCAAGGGACCATGTGCCCCTTGCTTGTGATGAATAGCCTTTCAAGACAAAGCTAAAACATCATCGTTATATCATCATATGGCATGTATTAGATAGCCGTTTTGAGATTCGCCCATGAAGGTGAAGCGTGTACATGTGCAAGAGATTATCCCTATGCACCATAGAGTCACGTTTGCATCATGGTCTGGAGGAACATGATTTTTGTCTCTAGGGGAGAACCTGAAATCCATAAATTGTTATTAGCTCCCTTAGTTTATTGGTTAACTTTTGTGGTCCAATCATGAGCCCATGCAGTTGACAGTGTGGGTCATGGGAACTGTTGGGTCAGTTTGAGAAAACTAGACGGATCATGATTCGCAGTTAAAGGTGGAGTGCTATTATATATTGATACGTTCCTAGATCTAACGGATCTGATTCCCATTAAAATTAATTAATTTTAATTAATTTTATATTATATAATTTTTGGAATGTTTATTTGAATTTTTTGTGATTTTTCTGATATTTTATTCTTGTCATTTGGATTTATAAATTAAGAGAAATTAATTTTTCAATGTTTTAAATAAAATATAATATTTAAAAAATCTAACTATAAAATAAAATATTTTCTAAAAATATATGAGACATTCACAAAATATGGATCCAAATTTAAATACATGTGAATTGGGTGGGGCCCACATATGGCCACTAAAAGGGTGGCATGCCGCACCTATTGAGATTCATGAAAAATTGGATACATTAAACTATAAAATTTTCTTATTTGATGGCAATATATCTAGGAAATGGAGGATAAGACTATAGCTAATCTCTTTGAATCTTGATGGTGGATCAAGATGGATAGCTCAAATCTCTCACCTACAAGTCTCCGTAGATCAACAATTGAGATTTGACCATACAAATTGAGGCAAAACCTATAGCCTAGAAATGCAGGAGGTCTCCCACCTAATAAAATTCCACACGTATTCTTTTTTATTTATTTAAGAATTCTCTCTCTCCCTATCCCAAATTAAGCTCTCTCTACATAGATTCTCTCTTTCCGTATATTCTGAAAGGGGAGGCCAAGTTGTTTTGGGTGGCACGCACCACCAACCCACCACTTCTCATTCTTCTAAGGGTGGCACGAACCACCTCTATTTTGTTTAGGTTGGCACCTACCACCAACCCGCCACTTCTCATTTCTTCTAAGGGTGGCACGAACCCAACCAGCAGTATCTCTCTTGGGTTTCCTTTTTGGGTGGCATGCCTAAGCCTAGGTGGTGTCTTTTTGTGGGTGGCAAAGGAGTGGAACCCCTTGTTAGTAGATCTCTCCATCTCTCTTGATATCCATCTCTCATATCTCTAAAAAAAATCAAGTTAAGAGGCTTGATCAATATTAAGTCATTGAGTGAGTTTTTACCATAGTACGGAAATCAACAGACCGATCATAAATCTCGAGTACCATCAAAGGAAAAACTCGACGTGGGGTGTATTAAGCCCAGTTGAGGTAATCTTCGACAATTTTAATTCTTTAAATCTTTATTAATATTTTGATCTTCTCTTCCCATAAAGCAATAAAGTCTAGTTTTTTATATTGAATAAGGAATTGTATTTGAAGATGTAGCAATTGAGAATCTATTTTATTTTATTTTATTTATTTCAAGAGTAGTTTGATTGTAATTAAACATTGTAAGTGATCTTGCCGGTGTAGGAATAAAGATTTTTTTTTAATATATATACCGTGCTTTATCACAAAGTATAGTTCGGAAGGCAGTTTCAGGTTGGAATCCTCGGACTGCTTTATTTCTTAGCAAACAAATGAACTAATAATGTCCGACGATGCCAACCTTGGACCGCCTTGAAGAGCACCAGAGGAGGCGGTCCGATAATAGGTAGCTCAGACTGGCTCTAAATGGTTAACAAAGTCAGTCTTCGCGGTTCAAGGATGCTTGAAGTAGGTTCAAGGATGCTTGAAGTATACTACAGAAAGCTGTCTAATGATGCTAATGTCAAACCAACTGGGCACTACCCCCAAATATTAACGGCCAACGCTACTATAAAAAAAAAAAAATGGGATCAGAGGGCAATTTTAGAAAAAATAAAAAATCTCAGTGGCCTACGACATAATTTTAACCCAAAATTGACTCATTTTGTATTTTAACATTTTTTATATCCATATGTAATTCACCCTTTTACAAAAATACCCACGTAGATGGCAAAGATAAAGAATAAATAAAAAGAGTGTAAATCACAAAACGAATGAAGGTGGCTGCACTTCCCAGTTCCCATAGAGAGGTGGAGAGAGAGAGAGAGAGAGAGAGAGATCAATTTTTCCTTACCAGCTTCTTGATAAGCAAATTGAGAGAGATTAGCTTTATGTGACAAGCTTCTTGATAAGAAATTAGAGAGAAAGGGAGAGAGAGAGATATATCTTGCCTTATGTCACCAGCTTCTTCATAAGCAATTTGTGTGTATGTGCATGAGAGAGAGAGAAAGAGAAAGAGAGACCATCTTCTTCACAAGCAATTTGTGTGTGTGTGTGAGAGAGAGATGTTACCTTATGTGACCAACTTCTTGATAAGCAAATTGCGTGATGAGGTCTCGGGTGAATGGGTCGAGGTTGGCCTTTCTTACCCCAATTGGAGGTGGCCCTCCCATTGCTAGTTTAGGGTCATATTCATCCAATCCATATCCAACAGCACCATACAAGAAGAACTCAGCCTCTGTGTACTCCAGATTCAGAGGGAACTCCAATAAGTCCACATCTCCTTGAAGCAAGTTCTCATTGTGAGGGCAAGAGTAAGTTTCAGCTAAAGCTTGATGAGAGAGAAAGAGTAAGATGATAGAGAGAGAAAAGTAGGAAGGCATTGCCATGATGAATGCTAAACGATGCATGAGCTATGTACTATTTATATACCAAAGATTTGGTGCACCAACAATAAGGATGTATATTAACATGAACTAGTGATAATTAGTAGAAATCTCTATATAAGAAATGAATTAGTTTGCATTTTTTTGTATGCATTAAGCTAATATAGCTTGACTCATGCTTACACGACTTTATTTCTTCATTTGCCATGTAACAAGTGGTAGGGGACCCTTGACCTTGACCTAATTGCAAGAGTTGAGAATTAATTGGAGAGTGATGCGGGGTTTGTTTTAACTATCCTCTTAATTCTTGAGGACTAAGTCTTCTCCATTTAGGAAATAAATGCATTTATCAATCTCATAGCACCTAAGTGGTAGCTCGTGATGTGATTAAAGGAATTTAGTTTTGGAAGAGGTGAGGGGTAGGGGTAGTAATGGACCCGACTAGATCCAGGACCCAATGGGTATACTTGACCGCGGGTCCTGGTATGGGTCCAAATTTTGGATCCGAATAATATTCAATTCTGAGTCTGGATCCAACAGAACCTGACCCATAGCTGTAGTCATAAGGCATATGACGGCAATCTTGTGTCTTTACATGCACACTAGATATTCGTTTTCTCACAATATTAGCAACGTTTATAATATTATTGGCACAAAAGAAGCTGATAACCATAGGGTATATGATGGTAAAAAAAATGGCAAAAAAAAAAAACTCATAGTCATATAGTGACAATAGATCCAACCAGACCTAGGACCCGACGGGTCTAGGTACAAGTCCAAATTTTGAACCTGAATATTATTTGGATCCGGATCTAGGTCTAGCCAAACCAGACGTGTTCCCAACCCATGGCCACCCTTAGTGAGGGGAATCAATATTAGAGGATAGTGATCGAATAGCTGATGAGATTAACGAGGGAAAAATGAATACTTTTGAGTAATTTGATGGGAACTTCTTTTACGGGCAAACTTTGTGCCTAACCAAAAGAGTTTTTAGAACCTTTTTTCGCACTTTGAAATCTCTCTCACACACACAAACGCATACTCCATTCTCACATGGACGATTGCATGTGTGCATGTATCCATTAACTGTGTGTTACATGATGGACCTTACATAAGTCTCTCTCCATTTATTGCGTTGGTCCCCGGAAAACAGCATATGGAGTCCCTTCAAGGGATATTAGACCTATCGGCCTGTTTTCCTCAACCTCTACACACAAGATGCTAGCGAATGTCTTGGCTAATAAACTCATGAATGTTACTGGAGAGGTCACTTAGGGCCCATAAGCCTTCATCAAAGGCAGACAAATTATAGATGATATTTTAATTGTGCAATAGCTTATCCTCCCACTTGTAGTCGAGAAAAAAAATGTGTTATGTTTAAAATGGATTTTGAGAAGGCATATGATAAAGTGGAGTAGGATTACTTAGATAAAGTTATGGAATTGATAGGTTTTAGTGAAAGGTTAAAGAAATGGATTGATGGATGAATGTCCATAGCCTATTTCTTAGTCATTGTCACTGACAAAACTTGGAGTTATTTCAAGGCATCGAGGGGCCTTCGACAAGGGGACTTTTTATCACAATTTCTCTGTGCTCTTGTGGCTGAATCTTTTAGCCTTATGCTTGCTGATGTAGTGGACAAAGATCAGACGCCTTGAGTCACTAATGAAGGTCCACTTATAACTCATCTACAATATGCATGATACCTTGCTAGTAGCAAAGAGGGATATGATGTAGTTACAATACCTTTGGTGCACTGGCTTCCTATTTTTCTCTCTATCATCTTTTCCTTCTCTCTTCTTTTACTTTCGTTGTACTTTTCATTTCTCCTCGACGAAAATCTCATTTACTTTTTAAAAAAAAAAAAATTGTTAAGTATTTCGGTTTAAGACGTTCATGAGGCGAGATACTTTGCAGTTTAAACAATCATTTTTATAAATAAAAATAATATAATAATAAAAATAATTTATTACTTTACATATTGGAAAGGTGGTTGACTCACCAGCATTCAAAACCACAAATCGGGATAGGCCGAGTCCGTATTATTTGGCCTGAGTTGCACAGGGTCCCGGCCAGGCCAAAAACTGTTTAAAAAATCAAAAATCAAAAAATAGAAAAAATATGTTTTTCAATAAAATTAACCAAGAGGTTAAAAAACTGTGTGAAAAAATAGATTTTGAAAGATCAATTTGCGATGAGGGTGTTTTAAAAATAATCAAAAAAGAAAGAAAAATGTAAAAATAAGTATTCGTCGCCAAAAAACCCTTTCCAATCTTTGCCAAAAATGATAGAAAACAATATATATATATATATATATATATATATATATATA